TTTGGACCTTGAACCGTTTGGTTCCCATTGAAGTCCATTATATGGAGAAAAATCCTGGAATGTTTTCATCAAAAAACCTTAATTTCTTTTCGACTGAAGAAAGAAAGACATGGACATCTTGGATGACATAGAGGAGAGTAAATTATCAGCAAAAGTTTTTTGAAAAGTGAACTAATTGTTTTAAGGTTTACAGTGAATTCTTTGCACTTGGCAGTAAAGCTCTGTCTGATTCTATTTTTGGTATCTGAAATCAGTATAATATAAGCAAAAAATAAAAGGAAGAATGTAAGTGTATGAATTTGTGAAAGATGGCCATTCAGGTTCTGCAGATTATTCGTAAGTGGGCCTAGTCAAAATGTCTGTTCAGTCGATTGGATAACAACCTCACTGCCAGAGATTCGCTCGTCAAGTTCACTTCTAACAGGTGATGAGTTCGGAGACTACATGGGCGACTGAAGAAGGGAACATGAGAAAAGGAGGCACATCAGAGGAAAGCGAAACCCTCGTCTCTCTCACGGCACAAGCCTGCAGGAGGAACATGTGGCGCTAATAACCGCTTTTACACAGCCTTGAGACTTAACACGTTTCACATTCCCTCATCAAAGAAACCACATGCTCAACTTTATGAAATTTTCATTCGGTAGATCTTTTTTTTCCTACCTCTATCTTCCCTTAAAACAACTGCCACCAAAAAGGGGGGGAGACGAGGAGACGGTGAGAGCGAGAGACAGTGTTTTGCAGGACCGTTTCCTTCCTGCCTGGAAGCCCTACTGTAACTTGTTAGATCAAACTTGGAGAACTTCTACAGCTGCCAGGAGCAAAATAATAATAATAATAAAATAATAAACGTGAGGAAAGAAGAAAGAAGTCATCTTTAAAAAAAGAAAAGCATGTGTGGAGGCAGGGGCCTGATGGAGACCTGGAAACTAATTACTGAAACAGTGTGTGGGAAGGAAAGACAACACACGTTGTGGAAGCATCTTCTGTCCCTGCGGACGGTGTAAATAAACTTGCCGTTCGCCACTGATTGCCAGGAAGAGTTTCATCATAAATTCCCCTGTCACTCACAAAGAAGTGCAATTAACAATTTATCTGCACAAACCCCAAATAAATGGGTTTAAAAAGCAATATTGAGGCATAGCGAGAGCTCCTCTTAAAAGTACGCTTCTACACATCACCGTAGGTTTAATCTCAAGAAACGTTTTTCTTTACTTCTTTTATTTTTGTTTTTAGTTTAGCTACTGTGTATCAAATAGAGCTTTCAAGGATCTCCTGGTTTCATATCCTATATATGCATCCTACATGATTTGAAAGTGTTCTCCAATGGTATCATGCTAAACTTTGGCCGAAGCTCGACAAAAACAATGTTCTCCTAGAAGTGAAGTAAATTAACACTGCATCCGACAGTGTTCATTATTTGTGAACGCTGCCGTCTGAACCAAACAAGACTGAAAAGATGAGAGTCGATCCACTTCCAAACGAACTCTGGTGCGGTTCGGGTTAGGTTTTAAAAATGACAATGTGAACGCTAGGGTTTGTTCACACTTGTTGGTTCACTTGGTCTGGACCAAAACACTTTTAGTCCTGGGCATTTTAAGGGCCCTTTCACGCCTTGTTTGGTCTGTACTTTCGGACTTTTCAGTTTGGTCCGAATCAAAATTACAGGTGTGAAACCTCCCACGCACCATTGTCCGGACCAAACAGATGAAATTTGGTCTGACGAAAAGAGGTAGTGTCGGTCCGGATCAAACTGAACAAAGGTTTAGTTCGTTTATAGTGTGAAAGCATTTCTGTATGGTTCGGACTTTCAGACGTTTTACAGGAAGTTCTGGTGGTTCCCAAAAAGCCAAAAACAGAAGGTTGCAGGAGGAATGAGCCGTGTAGCACACAGGGAGATGAGGAGACGAGGTGTTCATTGAAGTATGGTCTGATGACATAATAATAAGTCAACTTTCAGTCTTCTCCTCCTTTCCTGCCGGCGACGATAAAAAGTTTGCACGACGAGGACGTTCATTTGGCGAATTTGAGCTAGCCTTGTGTATAGTTGGTGCTGCCGGTAATTATGCCATAAAAATAACAATATAGTTGCAACGGTATGCGTCAGTTCGTTCATGTTGTCAAAGTTACACGGCGAATTGACAACACGTTGACGTCCATTTACTAAACCAATCAATGTCAAGATGCAGCCCACATAGATGATGACGACAGGACGCAAGTGTGTCGCGTAAAGTTCTTCAGTGCGCTCGCATTATCGCAGTGTGAAACCAAACCAAAACTTTCTGAACGTATAAAATGTATCAAAACTTGGTGCAGACTTTCAGGTGTGGAAACACCCTAACATTCGAGCCCGTTCTCATCCCAAAGCGACGCTTTTGCAAAAGCGTAAATAACCAACGCACATGGCACCCTCTAACGTCAAATGAGACGCAGATATATTTGGGCAGAAGGCGCCCCCTAGTGGTCTAACCCTAACCCTACACCATACCTAAACTTAACCATAACCGAAGCGTCTCATTAGGCGTTAAAGGGTGCCATGTGCGTTGGATATTTACGATTTTGCAAAAGCGTCGTATATGGCGCTTTGGGATGAGAATGCGTTGAACATTCATAACCTAAAGATACCGAACCTTAAGGCATAGGGATACTGTGTGTTCACTAGTCGGCTTATATTATGTATATTTCTTACCAAACATCCAGAACAATGCTGCGTTCTCGGCTAAAGCACTCGGTGTATGCGTGTAGCTGATGGTGTTTTGAGCAGCTGAGAATCAAGAAGAGCTTATATAATGTGTAAAGGAGTCAAAACAGCGTAAGGAATCCCTCCGTCACACACATGAAGACCTGCTGTGAGGAGACCCGGTTCTGATCCGGTACTGGGACACATCACGACTATGATGAGAAAAAATAGGCATTCTTGAACATTTTGTCCTTTTTAGGCTCGCGTTTTGTGATATCAAGTCCTGTTTTTGGTGTGTGTTGAGTTTGAGTCGAATCACAACAGAGTTTGTTTGGAAGTGGATCGAGTCTCATCTTTTTATTGCTCTCGGTCCGATTGTTTGGTGTCACCAACATAGCTGTCAACCCTCCCGTTTTTTCCGGGTTTCTCACGTATTTTATCTTTGTTCCCGCTGTCTTCCCGTTTTAGTATTTTCCCGTAAAATATCCCGTATTTTTACGCTCTGATTGTGTGAGACGTACAAGCTCGGACCTATTCGGCTTGACGTCGTTCATACTCGGATGCAGCGTTGTTTTACTGTCTATGGTTTTTGTTTTGGCTCCCATGTTAACAGATTAGAGCTTGCACACTGCCTGCGTGACACGCGCAAACGCGTGCATTCTAGAAATAGAACCAGATGCCTATTTTCCACGCGACACTCAAGCGTGTTGGAAGCGTTTCCAGGCCAAAAAAAAAACAATGTTCATATGTCAAAAATTTCCATTATTTTTGCCTATACATATTTTCATGTCATTTTTTAAACAATCGAGTCCTGGTGTCCACTACAGAGGTCATAGCATAACATAGGAATAAAATATATATATTTTTTTCATTTGTTTCTTATGCTCTTAATAATGTAAAAAAAAAAATAAAAAAATCCCTTATTTTGGCTACGGATTCCGGGAAATCTCCCTTATTTTCAATGTTCAATGTTGACAGCTATGTTCACCAAGGTTCAGACGGCAGCGTTCACACTTACTCAAATGATCCGCACTAATAGAGCAATTGCACCAGGGTTCGTTTTAATCTGAACAAAACGTTTAAGACCATAAGAGCCAAGAGAACTGAACTGTGGACGCCGTCGCCCACTCGACGCAGTAGTAGTTCACTTAGTCATCCAAGATGTCCATGTCTTTCTTTCTTGAGTCGAAAAAAAAATTAAGGTTTTTGATGAAAACATTTCAGGATTTTCTCCATATAATGGACTTCATTGGGAACCAAACGGTTCAAAAGTTCAAAATGAACACATCTTTTCCTGAGTCAACTCATTCATTTTGTTCGTTGAATGAACCAAATGACACGAAAAAAGATTTGTTCATTTTGATGAACGAGTTCGAACATGAGAGTCACGAACGCGCATCACAGAACAGAGCAAGGCGAGCATTTCAGCTTATAAAACTTAAACTTTGTTATTTATTTATTAAATGAGTGATCGTTTCGCTTGATAAGATCCTTATTCATCATCTGAAATCGTTTAAAGCCCTTTGAACAGTTTGCACTGAAACTGTCTTTTGGACCTTGAACCGTTTGGTTCCCATTAAAGTGCATTATATGGAGAAAAATCCTGGAATGTTTTCATCAAAAACCTTCATTTCTTTTCGACTGAAGAAAGAAAGACATGGACATCTTGGATGACATGGGGGTGAGTAAATTATCAGCAAAAAGTTTTTTTTAAAAGTGTTTTTTTTTTAAAAGAGTTTCTTTACAAGAAACTGTGACATCAGAATAAACAAGTGGACGAGGAACTGAACATGGTTCCCGTTTCTTCTATCATACAGAATTTAGGAATTTCCTTTTATATCATCAGACTGTGGGATCCTTTTCGGAGACTTGAATGATGAGCAGTTTTTGTGAAGGTTTCAGGGAAAGGGCCCGTTACTGTAATAGCGTGTGTTTTCGCCCCCCTCCATTTAGCCATCCATCAGAGAGGTGGGTGTTGTTTCTGGCCCAGCATGTCTAACACAGCGGTATAAATCACTCACGGTGATTTCAGGGTCCAGTGTTTAAATAATTAAAGAGCTTTAATTTATCAGGATTTAGCACCTTCAGACATAAGAGCCGACAGTCGCTGTGGGACAGAAAATGAGCAACAGTAATGGAGTTACAGCGGACGGACGGGGGGGAGAGATTCACACTGTAACCAGATTGAATGCACATGCATTAAACAGAAGGAGAAAAGCAATATGTGAAGCGCTGAAGTAATAAAGGCTGTTTTTTTTTAACATGCTTTCAATAACATAATCAATTATTGAGAAAAGAAGCTTCATTTGAAACATTTGAAGAAAAAAAAAAAAAAGTTTATTAACTATACACAAGCAATTCACCCAAGAAACTTGCAGGTTAACGAAATAGGTAGAATTATGCACTAATAATAATGAAGAAACACATAAAGAAAGCAAGCGGAGGATATGACGTATCTGCATCGAACAACTTTCACAAGTTCCACTTTATAGGCCGTTCAATTTATCAAACAGACTAAATGTATTACAGTACACATTATAAAACTGCTATCTACAGTGTGACTGCTATATAATCATGACAAAAGTGCAAACAGCCTCTACAGGGTTATATGTATGACCTTTGAGCTTAAAAATGTCCTCAAAAATGAATATTCTGTCATCATTTACACATCTTCATATTTCTCCAAACCTGAATGACACTTTCTCCGCGGTTTAAAGAACTGTTTTCGTCCTCACAATGAAAGTCGGCACGTTCAGGACTTGGATATTCATTTGGGTGTGGAACGACTACAGAATTTAAACATTTTGGGTGAACTATCCCTTTAAGGGCAGATCAGTACAAACCTTTCCATAAGTCAGAGCGAGCCATGTATGTCTACAGTGGATTAATGATACAGCACTGCCCCCTATTGGTTTGAATACATATCTCAAGTGTTAAACTGCAAAATAAACCAAAGATCACAATCTCAGGATCAATATCAGTAAGAGCTCACCTCAATTTTGAGGTTTCAAAATAACCCATAAAAGGAAAGAGAAAAAAATTTATTCCAGCGCCACAAAATCTGACAACCTGCTATACAAACTTAACTACATAAACACAAATCTGTTATAAGCTTGATTGGCAGAATATAGTTTGACAGCTATGAATTGTATATCGTAATGTCTTCTATATGAATATATTTGATCCATATGCTTTTAAGTTTATTACACCAATGGGAACTTTGGCATTACCAAAATTAGTTTATGTATAACAATACATCAGAATAGCCCTGAATCTCCTTGTAGTTTGTGGATTCTTTAAGCACAGTCAGTAGTTTTTGGTTGCGGTCCATGTCAGTTCTCCAGCATGGAGCGCTGTAGAGCCTCCTGGATCATGGCTTGCTCATCTGTAGCATAATCCTGATGAAGAGAGAAACAGGTCCATTTAAGATTAGTTACAAGCCGCCTCAACTCAGATCACAGACCGCCAGCAATTTCATTCCCTTGGAGATTGACTGAACTATTTAGTCTTGGAAAAGGTTGACATTGGATGCACATTAAATAGTCAATTTTTATGTAATTTAGTCAAAGCAACTTAAAATATTAAACAGAAAAAACTCAAAAGTTTGTTCAGTGATGGTGGAAGTCATTCAGAGCAGAATAATCCCACCCCAATCATAATGACTACCATGATTGCTTTCATACTTTAGGTTATGAAAGTATGATCTTTCATTAAATAGAATTTATTAAGGATGAGCAATTTGAGCGCCATGTTTTTTGGTCAGTGCATAGTTATTTACAGAGATGTGGAAATATTTGTTATAGAAATATTGATATTTTGCAGAATGGATGGTTGGCAAACAGTTTCTGGTCATTTTCTCCCATGCTATGGAAGTCAATGGGGTCCAACTGATGATTGTCCACAATATATATTGTTTGATTTCAACAGAACAAAAAAACCTGTACAGGTTTAGAACAACTTGAGAACATTTTTGGATGAACTTTACCTTTAAGTTATTCCAGTTTTAATAATAAGTATACTCGACTTGTTCAGGGAATTATTTACGGTTTCATAAGTTTGCACAACTCCGACACCAGACAACATAAAAGCTCTGCTAAACTAAAAGGCTTTATATCAGTAAGACACACTTAATGCCCAGCTTAACTTCAATTTGACTAACTACACTCACCTAAAGGATTATTAGGAACACAATACTAATACTGTGTTTGACCCCCTTTCTCCTTCAGAACTGCCTTAACTCTACGTGGCATTGATTCAACAAGGTGCTGAAAGCATTCTTTAGAAATGTTGGCCCATATTGATAGGATCGCATCTTGCAGTTGATGGAGATTTGTGGGATGCACATCCAGGGCACGAAGCTCCCGTTCCACCACATCCCAAAGATGCTCTATTGGGTTGAGATCTGGTGAATGTGGCGGCCATTTTAGTACAGTCAACTCATTGACATGTTCAAGAAACATTATCCTGCTGGAAGTAGCCATCAGAGGATGTGTGGACATGGTGGCCATAAAGGGATGGACATGGTCAGAAACAATGCTCAGGTAGGCCGTGGTATTTAAACGATGCCCAATTGGCACCAAGGGGCCTAAAGTGTGCCAAGAAAACATCCCCACACCATTACACCCCCACCACCAGCCTGCACAGTGGGAACAAGGCATGATGGATCCATGTTCTCATTCTGTTTACGCCAAATTCTGACTCTACCATCAGAAATCGAGACTCATCAGACCAGACAACATTTCTCCAGTCTTCAACTGTCCAGTTTTGGTGAGCTCTTGCCAATTGTGGCCTTTTTTCCTATTTGTAGTGGAGATGAGTGGTACCCGGTGGGGTCTTCTGCTGTTGTAGCCCATCCGCCTCAAGGTTGTGTGTGTTGTGTCTTCTTCACAAATGCTTTGCTGCATACCTCGGTTGTAACGAGTGGTTATTTTAGTCAAAGTTGCTCTTGAATCAGTCGGCCCATTCTCCTCTGACCTCTAGCATCAACAAGGCATTTTCTCCCACAGGACTGCCGCATACTGGATGTTTTCCCCTTTTCACAGCATTCTTTGTAAACCCTAGAAATGGTTGTGCTTGAAAATCCCAGTAACTGAGCAGATTGTGAAATACTCAGACACCAACAACCATGCCACGCTCAAAATTGCTTAAATCCCCTTTCTTTCCCATTCTGACATTCAGTTTGGAGTTCAGGAGATTGTCTTGACCCCTAAATGCATTGAAGCAACTGCCCTGTGATTGGTTGATTAGATAATTGAACAGGTGTTCCTAATAATCCTTTAGGGGAGTGTATATATATACCAAAGGTAATCTACAAAGTTAGCAAAAATCACTGAAAATTGATCGGATTGACGGTCTGACATATTTCTTTTAACAGTGGTAAAGCAGGGCATTGAACTGTTATAAGCTACTTACCACAAATGTGTCGTAAGAAAAAGCATGTCTTATTTTGAGGTGCTGAAAGAAGTCTGAGCTCTTGTAATTGGGGTCACCCCAGGGCATGGAGGCACAGATCGGGCACACCTGCAGGAGGGACACGGGTTAGAGACCAACACTCACCTCCAGTTGTACATCCTGATATTAATGATGCTCAATATACATGTAGAAGAACATACTCTTTGCCACTTCTCAGAGTCTTATCTATTTAAAGGTAAAGGCTCACGCAATGGAGAGCCACCAAGAACCTTAGACATGACCCTTTCAAAACTGATATACTGTATAAACAACTTAAAGGAGTAGTTCACTTAAAAAAAAAAAAACTTTTGCTGATAATTTACTCACCCCCATGTCATCCAAGATGTCCATGTCTTTCTTTCTTCAGTCGAAAAGAAATTAAGGTTTTTGATGAAAACATTCCAGAATTTTCTCCACATAATGTACTTTACTGGGAACCAAGCGGTTCAAGGTCCAAAAGACAAAGACAGATGATGAATAAGGGTCTTATCAAGCGAAACGATCGCTCATTTAATAAATAAATAACAAATTTTAAGTTTTATAAGCTCAAATGGTCGCCTTGCTCTGTTCTGTGATGTGCGTTTATGACTCTCCTGTTCGAATTCGTTCATCAAAATAAACAAATCTTTTTCCAAGTCAATTCGTACGTTTCGTTCATTGAATGAACCAAATGATTCGGAAAAAGATTCAGTCATTTTGATGAACGAGTTCGAACGGGAGAGTCAAGAACGCTCATCACAGAACAGAACAAGATGAGCATTTGAGCTTATAAAACTTAAACTTTGTTATTTATTTATTAAATGATCACTCGTTTCGCTTGATAAGACCCTTATTCATCGTCTGGAATCGTTTAAAGCCCTTTGAACAGTTTCCAGTTTGTACTGAAAGTGTCTTTTGGACCTTGAACCGTTTGGTTCCCATTGAAGTCCATTATATGGAGAAAAATCCTGGAATGTTTTCATCAAAAACCTTAATTTATTTTCGACTGAAGAAAGAATGACATGGACATCTTAAAGGAGAACTCCGGCGAACAATGAACCTTTGGTCTAATAAAACATCGGTACCTAGCAGACAGTTCACTTCGTGTATACAGACAGGAGCCATCTTAAAAAATATTCTCGATAAGTCGATCCCCGAACGCCGCTCATATAGTTCAGAAGTTCGTTGAACTTCATAGAGTTCAGATCACTCAGCACGACGTTCGTGGTTTGACTTGTTAAAAAAATAGTCTCGACATGGCTCCTGTCTGTATACACGAAGTGAACTGTCTTCATAAAGGATCTTCTTATTAAACGGGCTGTACACTTTGCTTCGTTTTGCATGTATGGAGCCTCGTTATGTTACTGTGTTAGTGTGGGGCTATTTTGAGCCTTGTTAGTGGAATAAACTAGCGATTTCTTTGTACTTAGTCAATGCCCCCATTGCTAGCATTATACGCTAAACAGCTTTTAGAGATAAAACTCTTTACTTTCGATTATCATGAAAACAAAACTCAGAGAACGATTGACTATGTACCGATGTTTTATTAGACCAAAGGTTCATTGTTCACGGGAGTTCTCCTTTAAATTGTAAATTATCAGCAAAACTTTTTTTTTTTTTAAAGTGAACTACTCCTATCAAACATGGATTCAAAACCAAGAAGGACGAGAAAGCCCGACTGGACAGAGGAACAGTGTTTACTGTTAGTCCAGTTAGTGGATGAACACATGGCCATCATTAAAGAAACTTTTGGGCCCGGTGTCAATCTATAGCAATTTATTAACTCACTGTAATTGTCTGCAACACATTTCTTCTCCCTCTTCATCTTTCTGCCATTTTCTCCTCTGCTAAAGAAACTATTAAGCCTCTTAAAAGTCCTCATCTGTACTCCTAACAATTGTGACCTTAAGAGCTCTTTTAATGGTGAAGATACTTTCTGAATTACTTTTTTCTTTACTAGGATTTTTTCTTTAATTTTATAAGTAAACGCCCACATTTTGTCAAGAATTTTGTCACTAGGAGCGACTCTTTTATGAATATAGGCCCAGGTGTTCATCTGAAAGAGGAAACACAAACACACACTAGCTTCAACTTTTTGTGGGTATACAAAAAAAAAAGTCCTTAATCCTCTTCTTTATTTTATTTTTTAATACCAATCCACACACACTCACAAATTATGATTTTTAAATACTTTTTATAAAAGATTAGGTTTTTTAAATGTCGAAATATATCTGAATGCATACAAAACGGACTTAAGTACAATTTTATTTCAAATTTTTATTTCCGTTTATCTGCTCAATATTAAAGCATGCCCTCTAGTGGCCATAACCATAACATGCAAGTCAATGACTCTAATATGATGTTTTCATTAGAATTGGACCGGGATCTCTTTATGTTGTTGTTTTTGTGAAATAATGTACTAAAAGAAGAAGCTTTTTCAATTAAAATAATGCAGTTCAAGAATATAGAAGTAAATAAAACAAAAACCAAAAAAAAAAAAAAAAAAAAGACTGGTATTTACAAGATTTATGGCCAGGAAAATGTGTGTAATGTTTAAGCTCTGGGTCATTTTGACCTGTGAGGAGATGATCTGTTAAACTTTAAGACTAGACCATTCAACTAGCAGTTAGTCAGGGGTCACCAGTCCTACTTTTCAGATTACATTTAGACCATACTTCCTTTATGTACCTGACTTTAAGAGGTTATGACCACTCTCAAGGAAAAACAATGTGTAAGTCTAGTCTAAGCATTTTATGCAAGCAGCCTCTCCTCCAGCAGTGTTTAGTCTCCTCAACTCATGGCAGGGATGAGCAGTATTTCACATACATGTACTTATTAAAATACGGATTTGAAATACAAAACACTATTTTGTGTTTTGAAGCTTTGGAAAAAATCTAATGTAATTTGTTTTTAATTTAAGTAGGAGGATTTTTGTATTTTCAAAATACATAAAATACTTTTGCCAGCCAACCTCTTTATCAGGGTAGTGGTTTCATTCATCGACTCTTATTTTACATTGCCATGTATTTATGCCCATCTCTGACTTGTGAAAACAAGTACATCCCATGGAAATTGTTGGCTTTTTGACATATTTGCACCCCAGCAAAAGATTTGATCCTATTTTAAACAATACTGATACACAGTATATGATAAGAGGTATAGCTGTAAATACAGAGCCCAATGATGTACTTTTTCCACAGAGGAAAATAACATTTATTGATATTTTTGTTAAATACATGATTAAAAAAAGTGAAATTTCCTTGTGGGTTTGTTCAAGTATTTCAACTTTATTAATATGCACCGTTTCAAAGAGTCTTGCTTGTACAAATGTATCAAAAAAAGCCCACAATTTCCATGTGACTAACTACAACGAAATGTGCTTAGGTTCATTTGTCTCAAGACTAAAGGGCCAAACAATATTTGACATTAACCCTTTGAAGTCCGCACCAAGAAAAAAGTGATGGAAAATTTTTGTTTGCATTTATCTTATGTCGCTAGTAACCAAACTCAATGTATTTGTTTTTTTCAACACATCCCATAATTTTTAAAATAATCTGCCTCTACCCAATGGTTGAGATGTTAATGGTAATAAATGGTACCGGAAATTATACACATACTTTGCCATACTTTTTCATTGCCCATCATCATTTATGATCAAAACCTTTTCTAGTCTTGACAAAACGCATTGTCAGAAAGGTCTGAGTCTCAAGGTCCCATATTTTGGAACAAAAGTGATATTTGAACAGACATTTATTAATTTGTTACAGCAGAATGCATACAATTAAATTCAATGGAATTTATGTCATTTTTGGTATTACGCCTAAACAAAATCTCATGGGAACTTCAATTATAGTGATATCAACTTCAAATTTGGAACACAACTTGGTTAGATATACAGCTTTGAATTTATAGTAATTTTATAGGAATTATTTTTTTGTAAAATATATATTTTATATAAAAGAAAAATATTTAGTACAGTATATTTGATTTCATTAAATTTATAACGTTTTCATACTTGTGTTTGAAACATAAGTGTTTTTACTTCAGCAATAATCTGCTGAGTGTTTTCTAAACTTAGGTCTTTATTCCAAAGCATACTTGTATTACAGCCAAGTTTTAATATTGCAGTGTAATGTCCATTCTCAAAAAGGGGGGTGACCGTTAACTGTCATGTGCCAAATCAACCGTTCGGTTGAGCATGTTTTTGAAAAATTATTAAAAATACACTTAAGTTTTTTTCATAGCACCAAGTAACATCATTTTGTAAACTTAAGGCTCTTGCAGTGTAATATGTAAAAAAAAATATCCTTAGCTTGCAAAATTTCACCAAAAACAGTTCACATGGCTGGGGTGATTTATGTGTTTCTGACATCCATGTTAGAAGAAGTGTTGTGACAAGTGCTGTTGATTGACACTGTGACATCTAGTGGATTTTTTGGGCATAATATACCTCAAGCAGATGATAGAGATGGCTCAATTAATCAGTTTGAGTTAAGTTAGGTACTCCTCTCAATAAAATATAGTGACAGTTAAAGGGTTAATCAGATTAAAGCCTCACCACTTGGCGCAGGTCGTGTGCGTGGCGTGAGGTGCAGTGCTCCACCAGCCCGTCCTGGTCCAGGTTCTGCTGCTTACAGAAGGGACAGGTGAACGTGTGCCGGTTCGGCACTGAGCTACAGGAACAGGGAACCAAGCAGTGTGTGTCAGTGCAGATGAAGGGTTAACAACACATGGGTGATCTTTCAATCAGGGGCACTTTTGACATTAGCTCAGCACAGATGTAAGGAACATGTGAAAGTTTCAGATTTTTTGAAACATTTTTTTTTTTTCCTTAAAGGGGACATATCATGCAAAATCCATTTTTTTTAGCCCTTAAATGCATTTTGTTGTATATTTGGAGTGTTTATAAGTACAGAAAAGATGAAATTACTCTCTTCAGGTGATTCGTTTATATCTTTATATTCTGTTTTGGTCGTATTTTTCAATCTGTTCAGATTTTTCTGTTTTCTATTACGTTTTTTTGAGCAAGTGCGTCAACGTATTTGCAGCTGAACTGCCAAATAAAAACATCGACTACCGGCCCAACACTTCGAGCAATCCGCCATTATTATTTCTCGCTCCGATTTTGTAGTCCGAGCTCAATGATGCAGAAGTTACGAGAGGGCAAGTCAAAATGTTCGGTTGTTGGATGTACGTTACTGGCCTGAAGCACTTCAACAACCTCCGCCAGTATAAAGAAGGGTTTGCCGATCGACTTCGTCTGAATGAGGGGCAAATTCCTTCTATCTTTGGAGACGACGAACAGAGCATTTCCATAAGCTGTAAATATCGTTAATAAAAATAAAGTACTTTACTTTCTTAAAACACATGGTGGTCATGGTTTAGCAGTACCTTTGTCTTTGTTTTGAAGTAACGTTACACGTCTGCAGTATTATTGTTCTTGAGTTTCATCAATGCTCATTTAGCTGCGTTGTTTTCTGATGCTTTTCTAAACGTATCATATTGTCAATACAGTTTTTTTGTGGTAAGATTAGACCGTAGTCATTTATCTTGTCAGTGTGCTTGTTTTAACAAGAGAAATAGTCGACTTTCACTAATAACACAGAACAGTTAACTCACATTGTTCTGCAGGTTCGGCGTCGTCTTTATCAACTCGCTCGCTCTGGCTGGAATATGTAAGGCTTGATGGACAAGTCTTCTGTTGTTGACATCTTATTAACGTGTGAATAAAAATGTTCTTTGAAGGTATCGTATATAATCGTATGTCTCTAATCAAACTACAATAATGGCCGAACACGGGGAGTTGAACTGACCGTGAACTCATCGACCTGGAGAGCGGGCGGAGTATGACGCATCTCCTTTTTATTTAAAGGGGCCGCTTTGAAACGGGTCGCTCAAAGACGGGGCTTGTGGAAGGGGCTTGTGGAGCTATAATAATGAGGAATTCAGACCCAAGCATTGCAGTTATGTTTTATATAGACCACAACGGTATGATTTATATGTAAAAATGAATGATATGTACCCTTTAAAATAAAGACATGACACTGTAAAGAGTTGATCAATGTCATAATGGTATTCAGTAAAGGCAAGTAAACAAATACATTCTCTCATTTTTTGATGAACACTCCAGTTCCTAAATTCCTTAATTATCTACCCTTCTTTTTCTTCGTGGATTGTGTTTCTCCTTTTAGCGGCACAGTACGCCTCATTCTGGGTCCAGTAGCTCACAAGCTTATATGTGCGTTAAGCATTGTTATGTGGCGCCCAGTAGAAGCGACAGAAATGTTCCCAATGTGAATCCAAAGGACCAGTAGCATGTCTTTAAACCGCATCCATTACGTACGTTTTATTTATGCCTGACCTGCATGACTGCATAGAGAGCAAACATGTCCGACAGCATTTCTCACTGCTTAAAGGAAGAGTTCACTTCAAAATGAAAATCCTGTCATTGTGTTCAACAGAAGAAAGAAACTCAAAAAGATTATAATAATGACAGGAATTTCATTTTGAAGTGAACCATTTCTTTAAGCAGTGAGAAATGCTGTCTCTATGAAGAAATGTACTTTGATGAAAATATTCCAGGATTTTCTCCATATAATGGACCTCAATGGGAACCAAACGGTTCAAGGTCCAAATGAGTTTCAGTGCAGCACAAAGGGCTTTAAACGATTCCAGACGATGAATAAGGGTCTTATCTAGCGAAATGATCACTCGATAAAAAAAAATAAACGAAAAAGATTTGCCTTGTTCTTTTCTGTGTTTAAAGCCCTTTGAAGCTGCACTGAAACTCCCATTTGGACCTTAAAACGGTTGGAGTCCACTGAAGTCCATTATATGAAGAAAAATCCTGGAATATTTTCATCAAAAACCTTAATTTCTTTTCGACTGAAGAAAGAAAGACATGGACATCTTGGATGACATGGGGGTGAGTAAATAATAAGCAACAGTTTTTTTTTTTGTTTTTTTTTTAAGTGAACTACTTAAAATACTCAGACACCAACAACCATGCCACACTCAAAATTGCTTAAATCACCTTTATTTCCCATTCTGACATTCAGTTTGGAGTTCAGGAGATTGTCTTGACCAGGACCACACCCCTAAATGCACTGAAGCAACTGCCATGTGATTGGTTGATTAGATAATTGCATTAATGTGAAATTAAACTGGTGTTCCTAATAACCCTTTGGGTGAGTGTACATGCATAGATACATATATCCTAATTGACAAAAAAAAAAAAAAAAAAAAAAAAATCCCCCACATACAGTACGAAATGCTGAAGAATGTTATATTACCTGACAATGGAGGGCTGGGTCTTTGAAATGGACTTCATACCATCCTTGATATAGTCTTGATATTTGGAGCAAATTCCTGTGTGGCTTCTCATGTCAGACAAAAGAACCTGGATAGTAGAAACACATTTTAACTGGTAACATCTTGGATTCACACAGCCGGCTGATGCATTTACACACACACAGACACACTGAACTGAACACTGGTGGAAATCGAAAGCTCACATCAGATTGCCTGTACACAAATCAGGGTGCAGAAGTTTCGATCAGCCCGACACCAATCCAAACGTGCTTAAAAGGTACTGGGTTAACTTAATAATATATGAAAACTTAGCAATGAAAAAAGACTCTGGATCCTGACTAACGTCTGAAGCTGAATAAACCTTATGTCATTGAAGACATCAACAGATATGTCAGCGATTGGCTACCAATAAGGCAAATGCTATTATTACAGTTTCTCCAACACCCCTGTAGAGCCGGGTCGGAGGACCTTTTCACTGTTTTTCATTTTAACAAAGTCAGTGCTGTGTGCGAATCGACGGCCACTGTTAACCCCATGTGGTGGAAATACAGCTTTTAATGTTTTTTTATGTGTTTATGTGGTGTTTTTAATAGTCTTTAAATCAAACCATGTGTAGATTCATAAGTCGACAGCATCGCTGAGATTTTCTCCTTAAAACGGCAGTGAACCAAAAACATGGTGTGAAATCGCTGGTGTTTCTGACATCACAAACGACCTTGTGACCATTTAGATCAACGTGTGATCGTCAACCAGTGGATCTCTGAGTGAGTGAGTGAGTGAGTGAGTGGAGGCGGGGCTCATTTGATAATTTTGGCGATCAAAGACGTGTTTTAAGGTATTAAATAAAAAAAATAAAAAACGTGATAAAATGATTGAGTACGGGGGGACTTTAACTGGGAAATTACCTTTGATTTGAACTGGCCCTCTTCTAAGACTCTCACACAGACCCTAGTGTGTTTCGGCCAGATAGCCAGGGTCGTCCTAGCTAACACTGCCTGTGTGATGTACACCTCGTGTTGTGTTTGTGGGCTACACTCACCGAAACATTACGGGCTTTCGACCGGAGGAACCTTTTCATAGTTCCTAAAACTAATAACGGAAAAGTACACACTTTATGCCGTCTTTGCACCGCAGGAACGGGGAACTAGGGCTGAACGATTAATTGCATTTGCGATAATATCGCGATACGAGAAAACACGATTCTAATCGCAACTTGCGCGATTACACGGTGACGCGAGCTTAAGCGTGTAGAACTCGGCTGCCTGAACTTTTCGTGCTCGTGCTGCCCTTTACCCTGTTCAGCAATGGCGTCTAGCTCGACGGAACGGTCAGAAACGGACACAGCTGAGACTTTAATCTCAAAGAGGAGCAGTACGTCGGTGGTGTGGAACTATTTTGGTTTCAAAAAAGATGATGTTGCGCAACGTCAGGTGTTGTGCAGAGCATGCCGTGCTCCCGTTGCTACTTCACGGGGTAACTAGTGATCGACCGATATATCGGGCCGATATTTGAGGTTTTTACGTGTATCGGAATCGGCCGATACACCGCTGCGCGTTCGCCGATAGTTTTTTTTTTTCTCCCGGCGTTATTTATAGACAGGCGGCCACGGGCAGCTCTGTGCTGCTAGAGACGCTACAGTTCACGTGCCCCGCCCTCCTCCACTAGCGGAGTGCAACCTGCTCTTCACGAGAATGGTAACTTAAACTTTCAAAGGATCTTTTAAATGTTTGACTGCTGAAATATTGTCAAACACTTTGAAAATGGAAACACGTCGCCCTATAACTGTTATGTGCTTGCAACTAAGCAAGTTTGTGGGTCCAAATGGAAAACGTGAATGCCTCGTCTATAAAACTTAACTGATTGCCATTGTATTAAGAAGCTGCAAATAGTTAAGGTGTAGGTTATCCGTTCAGTATGCATTAGGACTGTCTATGAATATTCTACATTCGAATATCTATTAATTTTGAAGGTGAAAATTAATATTTGAATGTGGAAAAACACGCCCGCTTTATTATGCTGGTTGCTACTGTGTGCAATAGTGTAATTATTTAATTTATGCTTAAATATTCATTTTCAGCACTGAACTTTTTTTTCTACTTTATGTTTTTAATATTTTTTAAATTGTTTATCTACTTGTTCTTGTTCTACCTCACATGTTTTTACTATTTTTTAAATATTAATTTTTGAAGTTAGTTAAATGTTACTTTTATTAAATTGAGACCTGTAACATTTGTTAACATCATGTTATTTTTAAGATGTAAATTGAGGGAGCAAAATGTATTGGCTCCAAATATCGGCTCAAGAAAATCGGCAGCCCGTATCGGTCATCGGCTAAGGCTGATGGGAAAAAAATCGGTATCGGTATCGGCACTAAAAAATCCATATCGGTCGATCCCTAGGGGTAACACTACAAACTTGTTCCAGCATTTTAAAAAAATACCACAAATCAATACATGACAGTTGTATGTCCAAAATGCCGAGCGCCAGACAAGCCTACCTCAAGACAGGTAGGCTGACCGAATTGTTCGAAAGTGTCACTCCGTACGAACGCAATTCAAAACGGCAAGGGGAAATTACACGGGCAATTACCGAGTTCATTGCCAAAGATATGATGCCCATCAGCACGGTGACCAAGCCTGTGTTCGTGTCATTGATAAACGGTACAGTATACCCTCCCATACATACTTCAGTCAGACTGCCATACCGGAGATGTGCAAAAAGTGCAAAGATAAAGTCGCCGCGGAGCTTAAAGCGGTTGAGTTTTTTGCTAGCACTACTGATATGTGGTCAAGCCGCACAGCTGAGCCTTACTAGAGTCTTACAGTCCATTTTATCGATAAAGATTTCAACCTCAGAGCTCGCTGCCTACAAACTACCTACTTCCCAGACGACCACACAGGGGAAAATATTGCAGCCGGCCTGAGAGAAGGGCTTGCCTGCTGGGAGAATCACGTCGCCCACAAGGAGAATCACGTCTGCATCACGACGGACAATATGGTGATGGCTGCGCGGCTTAATGAATGGACGAGACTCCAATGGTTTGGGCATAGGTTACATCTTGCCATTGGTAAGTTATGTCGTGTGTGTGTGTGTGTGTGTGCGCGTGCACACAGAGAGATGCATTGATATTGAATTAATTTATTCTTCCCACTCCTTTTCTAATGTGTAGAGGACAGTTACTTGAGTCGTCCCCTGTCGTTTTAAGGAATAGTACAACGGCGAGCGGGTCAAGTATAAACGCCTCGACCGTTTGGAGCGGTGCGCGCGCTGTCTGTGGAGACTCGTGCATACTTTCGCCTGCCTCCGCAGTGCGAGTCTCCACAGACAGTTTATACTTGACCCGCTCACATCCGGAGTCGTCGTCATGGCGGCGCGCATTGTTTAGAGCAGATATAGGTGGATAAACAAGGCTTTCGTCTCCTCGCTGGTTCAGATTAACTGAAATACGTCCACACCGCAGACATGTTGCTTCAGACAAGCACGTGCAGGTCACGTTTGCGTCATCCCAACATTTCGGCCGTATTGTTTCGGTGATAAGTCTTTCGGCCGAAAAACGAAAATGCACTTTTGTACGGAGCCCCCCTAATCCCACTTTGGCAAAAAAAAAAAAAAACTATTTTGTGGCCTCAAGATACCAACTCGTGGCCTCAAGATAGCAACTCGTGTAAATTGCTATGTAAATCTTCAGCGGTCCACAACAGGCACTCGCACAAAAACACACTCAGCTAAATTTTTCATTTAATTAAAGAAAAATGCACAACAAGATATATTTGTTGTCAATATTGCAACCCTACTTGTTGTCACTAACTTGTTTTTCACTAACCATTCAATGCCTTTTTTTCCTATTATCTATTAGTCAACTCTAGCACTATAATCTATTTCAGATAAACATGCCCCTATACTGTGTTTAACAATGTCGTCCTGAGGAAGTGGGTGTTTTTTGTCCAGAATAAGCACTTATAACTTAATTAGTAATGCCATCTAAACATTTAACTCACATCTTTTGTACAGCCTTTGCACCTCCCGACCGATTTCTGCATCAAGTCTTGTAAACGCTCTGCTTTATTCCACTGGTGCAGATCAGACCTGCAGACTGCACACACAGGTTTCTGAGGCCGCAAGCACTCCCGGAGACAGCTCTCGCAGAATCTGACCAGACCAAAGGGATACGGTGTATTTAAAACATGTAAAAGAAATGTAACTTAATGCATCTATAATATAAACCTGTTTCCAGTTCAAATGGATAGTTAACATCTTCAGATTACAGAAATGTATCATGTGTTGGGCTGATGTTTTAATTGATGGCAAGAAACCTTACACAAGCCAGAAAATGAAAAAACTATCCCAATCAACCTTAATTCTCCCTATATACTTGTAATTGATGGAGTGTAATTTTATCGCTTTTGCTGGTGTTTTGTTATGAGTGTCGGTAATGTATGACCCTTAAATGAAAAGTACTTTTTTTTAAACCTTATCAAAACAGAAAAGACCCCGTTTCATAGGTCACTGTGGGGTGTTGTAGTTTGATCAAACCATAATTAAGATAGCACTACAGGTCCCACAATCCCACACTGCAGTGCAAAGTTTTCTGCACAAGAAACAAAACTGAAAGTAACCAATTTCTGTCTTCTGGGAAACTCATATCACAACTACATTTATTGATCATTATTGGGCACAATCATATTAAATTTCAACAACATGACAAGAAGGCTGTGTGTCGGTTTGACGTGATAACGAAATGAACATTAGTTACACATGTCAATCGAGAAGTTCCTGCGGTAAGGCACTAGACCTCATGGATACTCACGTATGTCCGCACTGTGTGGTCATCGGACTGATAAATATCTCCAAACACACAGGACATGTGAATTCATTATCTTCAGCATCGTTCACATCAGTTTCAGTGAATGTTTTGAGCATTGCCATGTCTGCTGCCCTGTTTCCGTGTTCTAGAACTCCAGTCCGGTGAGATTCACTGTCGGGTGGGAGGAGCACAAACTCAGCTGATCTCATGCACACGCATGAGAAATAATACAGACCCGTTTGACTAGTGACAGGTTTGAAAAAGCCGCAGAGGTTACCCAAATGAGTGAAAGATGGTTTATAATGTAGTGTGCGCGTGTGTCCTCTTTTAATCACGAGTTATGACGCGTGATATTGCTGCTAGTGGCATCCGATTCATAAACAACTCACCTGAACCGGTTCTTTTAATTGATTCGGAAGGCGTGAATATGAAAATCATGAATTTTTCTACTCGAGGACGTAACGTTAGTTGAATCCAGACCAGTGTTTCCCTGCTCCTTGTCACACCAACAGTGCACAGTTTGAATATCTCCCTTTTCTGACCCATATTTCTGGTCTTGGAGTCTCTACTAACGAGCTGATGAGTTGATTCAGGTGTGTGATCGATTAGAAAGAGTTAGTAGTGTTGTTGTGCCTCCAGAAACACTGCCATAGACAATAATGCATACGTATTTTTTATGTCTACGCCTACGGTTGAAACTTTTTAGAGTGAAACTGATGGGTGAAAAACGTAAACAACGTGACATTTGACAGAAAAATGTGCCAACTTTAATGACAGGAACACATAAATATTTGTACAATTACAATCATACGCTAAATGAAAATGACTCGGTGTTTCAGCAAACATTAAAGTACAAAATAAAAACGTTGAATGCAGCGCAGAGACTTCTGGGATTATGAGCGATGACTCCAATGAATTGAATCATATAGCCGAACCGACTCGCTGAATGAATCGGAGATTCCAACGCTATTCCTATCTGCAGCCTGCAACCTCGGGAGCGCGCAGAGGAGGCAGTGTAGCGCACGCGCAGTCTGGCGATGGGGATTTCCAGCGGAACATGAAGGTAAGAGGCGCTGGATGATGGGGAGGAGGGCTGCTCATTAATGGTGCCCAGCACCGCACGACACTCAATGGGCATGTTTACAATCAAGTTTTGTTCATATTGAGGTAATTTAAAAGTAAATGAAGGATGGTGTGTGGTTAAATTGTGTGGTCTGTGGGTTTACAGGGCCCTGCAACTGCGCTAATGTTAGCAGTGGTGTGCTAACTGCATCTGATATCAGCTATAGAAACGAGTTAAGTGTACAGTAACGACAATATTAACGTCTATTCCTGTAATAAACACTTGTTCAAAGATTAGATCGAACTGTCTGGTGCTTTGACAGATTGATTTACTAAGTAAACGAGACTCATATTAGCTGTGTTGCTAACACACGTCACTGTTTATCACTGTAGCAATGCAATGTAGGCAGAAATAATCATTTGTGGATACTTCACTGTTCTCTGTAACCCGTTGTTTGTTTTTGTTACGTTTTCTATGTTCAGTATGATGTGATTATGTTAGGATAATATCCTGATGGTGGTGATGACACATGCTAAAGATAGATAGATTAGATAACTTACTGTTAAGTGTACTGTATGTACTAGGTAGCTTGAATGACAGTCTCATTAGTTTTCATTGAAGGGAAATGCTGGGAATTCTATGTGAGGAGTGAAGTGGTTTGTGTGGCCTTATTGTACACAGTCCACAATTATAATTAGAAACATAGTAGTTTGAGATCCTGTATATACATGATTATATACACGGAGCTTTGTGGAAAGTTCCAAATTCCTGTCATTCACAATATTGACAATTCAAAAATTGTCCCCTGTTCTGACCAGTTTGTTTCTAAAAAAAACAACAACAAAAAAACCACTAATTTGCTGAAGATTTCAGGATCTATATATTACCTTGAGAAAGCTCTCCATTTGAATTCCCATTCATCTCAGATTCTCAATAAACTCAGGAAGTATTCTGCATGGTGCTATCCTTGGACACAGACGTTTATGAGTCAATCACCTGAGCTGTAAATGCTGATTGGCTGATGGAACCACAGTCCGAAACCCTTCACTTCTGGTTCTGTTGGTTACATGAGCTGATATAACAAAGGCAAAAGTTTAGTCCATTTTGCGTTAATTACATTTTATTTTATTTTAATATTTTATATTTTCATAATATTGATAACATCTACCTCTCCTTTTGCACCACTGTTTGATTATTTGAATTTAGGTGGTTATTTAATTCTATGTTGTTGTCTTTCTCTACATGTTGATACTGGAAAAGAAGTTGCTTTTAATCTCATTGTACATGTGAAAGGGCATTTCATTTCATTTAAATGCCATTCCAAAAAACAGTGGCACTATTATAATGGAATATTTGTAGTGTATATGTTGCCTGCAAAAAAAAACAAAACTAAAAAGACTACATTTTAATGTCTTTTAGAGTAGGAGGATTATTTGTGTACCTAAAATGGTGTTATGGCATCTACCATGGAGCTTCCAGAAGCTAACTGCCCATGCTAACTTTCAAACATTTTACTCCGTTTAGGCTAACCCAAATTTAAATTCATTCAACATAATTACACACATTTCCATTCTCAAAAGCTCAGAAAATTTTTAAAAACAGCTTAGAGTCTACTATAATTTAGACCACATCACAAATATGTAATGTTCATTCTCATGGTCTGCTTTGGCCTTTCTGTGATGCATGCATGCATTTTTAATTAGCTCTGTGATTGCAGGTCAATAGACTGAGGCAAGTCTCCGCTTATTACACAGAGTGGTGTTATTCAAACGGATTTGTTCTTCTCTCATTGCAGCTTTGGACATGGTGTTTTTTAACGTATTCTCCTCTCTGCAAGCCCTGACCTTCATCCTACTGCAGAGGGAAAACCTGACCGTTAGGGCTTAAAAAGGTGAGGAGTTTCCATTCAGCCCCCAGTTCAACCACCTTCTCATGTCATGTTGCTTCCTTTGAGGTGTTTTGGTTCATGAGGCACCCAGAGATGCCTATAACCGCAGGAAAGAGCCCTGGGCAAGGTGTACGCCCAAATTAAACCGCACACCTCTTCACTTTCATTATTCCATATCACTCCTTTGGAGGATGATCGCAACTTGCTGATTTTCCCCACTGTACTGCACCGTTGTCCCAGGTCTTTCCCAGGTGTCCAGTGGGAGAGAGACCTTGAGATGGCAAGGTGTCCCATTTAAAGAAACTCCTGGATTGTGGGATAAGCGGGTGCCAGCTACGCAACCCACTGCCACCAATGGATGCCAAGTTGCGAGAAGATCTGTTCCGCAGGTATGTGGCATCTCTGGAGAACCGGCTCGAGGAGGGAACTGGTGAAGGAGGAGATAAGCCAGGGGCTAAGACTGAGGAAGCACTGATTTCCACTGCAACGGCACTGCTAGGCTCATACCAGCCTGACCCCGGGCAGCGCTTTCGCATGGTTCGGTTCTACGACGTAGCGGAGAACTCACTGAGAACTCAGAGAGGCGCAAGCTTGCGGACATTGGAGACAGCCTTTGCGACGCTGGAAACCATCTGTACCAACTTGTTGCTCTTTCCGTGGAAGAAGGAGTTCCGTTGCATTAAGGTGAGTCGAGAGAACGAAGGATTCTCCAAAAAAGGCCAAAAAATCCCCAACTAATTTTGCAGTTCTTGAGTTCTGTGGGGCACAAAAGGAAAGATGTTTCTTTTTGGGTGAACTACCATATATCAGATGAAATGAGTTGTGTGAGGAGATAAGGTTGTAGGGTTATTATTGAGCCTTTTGTTAATACCTTACCTTAACATTTTCTTGGTTGTGTACGTGAAAGAAATCAGACAGTGTGAATGTCATAATTCCCTTTGACCATTTAATGACCTTTCTTTCACCTTTACAGACCTTCACAGGGCCATACGTGTACCAGTTGCAGTCGGTGATATGCGACGCGGACCTGCGTTCACTTCTGCGCTCCATGGGCTATACAAGAGACCAAGAATCGCAGTACCACGTCCGGGACCATCCGGGCGGAGCCTCCCACCTTCGGCAGCTTTCCTTTGAGCTGCTTCTCGCACAGGCTGAATGCCGGTTACTCAGCGAGGTGGTGTCCATGTCCCGGGGCTTCGCCTCGGAGCTGGAGGCCGTGGATGTGAGGAGGAACACCAGAGAAGATGCAGCAGGGTGTGCTGACGCCCTCCGCCGACGGGACAGCCTCACCGGAGACTTGTCCCGCCTGTCGGTGCGGCCCTTGGATATCGACCGTGCCCATCTTAGGCGAAGCGGTCGACCCTCCAAATCAGTGGATGTAACGGACAGCGCTGGACACTGGCACCAAGCCAGCAAGCCCGTGTTAAAGGCTTCGCTCAGCCTCCGCAAAGAGCCGTTATTCGTCGACACGGAGGAAGACATGAAGGATGAAATCCTTCGACCGAGTCCCTCGCTTTACCCCGTGGCGGCTCCGCCCTCGTACAGCCCAGTGGCGGACTTCTTTCCCATCCAATCGCCCCCGTCCGAGCCATACTCCTACCACTTGTCCTCCCTCGATGAGGTGGACTTGTACACTGAGCGAGGTTTGGGTGGCCTCCAGACCCCCTCCAGACCGCCGAGCCGGGAGCTGCGAGAAGCCCGGGACAGTTGGGTTCTGAAGGGGCACATGATGAAGTGCCAGGGCTGTGGGATGGGCTGCCCTTCGCTCTCCTCCTGCCAGCGGTGCGACATGATCTTGTGTTCGTCCTGCCACGCGGTGGAACCGACGCCTTGTTGCGGCTTCCAGGATTACACTAAAACTTCCCGCCCTCTGGACGGATACATGCCCATCAAGGAGAAGTTGTCCGTCTACTCCAACGCCCACTCCCACACTCACCCTCACCCACTCCCCCACGCTC